GAATTCTGCCTGCTCTCCTCCAATGGTCAGGCTTCTCCTGACACCTCCCTCCCCTAGTACAGCCATTTACTGGGAAGATCAATGTTCTGCTGTTTCTCCTCCCCAGCTCTTATGCAGCAAACAAAGCGAATGTGATCACTTATAAAAAAAGGGGGGAAAAGGTATTTATAGTGGGTTTTTTTATATATATACATAAATGTTTTGCCTTTCAGTCCTATTTTAAACTGAATGGGCTGTTTTACAAGGTGAGAGTTTACAATCACGTTAGATGTCCCTCTTATTATGCCCTGTATGGGGAAAAAGAACAAGTCACTTAAAATCAATTTTTTTCTCTAAAGTCATTTTTTGAATAGAGGACAGATCGGCAATACGCGATCAGCAGGGGGGATGGTTAGGCAGAATGTTTGTATAAATAGGTGTACTGAGATTGAAGTGGGAGCTGTATACTCTGGTTTTGTCTACGCTTGCTTGCACTGGAGTCAGATGAATTCTAGAACAATAATGTGCCTGCTTTGTCTTGATTTTTGAATGTCCTGCTGTGATCATTACTGACCCGATCATATTTACACCTATTGTTGTTGTAAAGCTTTTCCAGCTGGAAAAAAAAAATAAAACATATTGAAACCCAAAGTGGTGAAGTCAGAAAATGCAGTGAATCCCATAAATCATAACTGACCCACCATCCCAACAACCCATTTTTCTTTATTTTGTCATGTGAAATGGGCAATGTTACCTTTAAAATCTGATAGCCAGTATATATCCAATACTAATGGGAATAGTTGTGGTTCAAAGGTACCAAAATATTGCTCACAGTACATGCAGCTCAAATAACTATATATAAAATCCCAATAATGTGTTACTACAGCTGTAACAGAACTATTGAGTTGGCACTATATCAGGTGTGAGCAAAGTAATTGTTCCAATAGTTCAGTAGTTGTGATAACCAAGAGATCTTACGGGTTTTGCAACTTGTTACGTTTGCTATGAACACGTGCCTGGACACACCACTGTATACAGGAGACCACAGAATAGTTGATCTAAGCAGGTACATGTAAGGCCCCTTCTACACGAAGTGTCTAATCAGGTCCACCTGTCAGTTCTTCAGGCAGATCTGATCAGACCCTCCATTCGCCCTTATATACCAGTGGGTGTAAACGGACTTGTGTCTGTTTACACCCACCTACCTGTTGTCTGATTCTGCCTGCTAAAAAAAACAGAAGGGGATTCGTCCCCTTCTGTCTATGCGGATAAAATCAGAGGTCAGTCAGGTGTAAACGGACAGCAGAGTCCATTTTCAAAAGGCTGCCCATAGAGCAGAGTGGGTTCACGGACCTGTCACCTGCCCTATCTGCTCTGATCAGCAAACCGATCTCCTGCTGAACAAATCCGAGTCCCCGTGTGAAAGGGAACTTAATGTTGTGGTTTTGGAGACCCAAAATTTAAAGCTTCACCAAAATTTTTTTCATAGTTTTTAAGAGGGGGGTGTTTTTAACTTTTTTTCATCAGGTTGCAGATGGTTGATAGTGCCCCTCTAGGGAAATTTTCTCTAACTTCCTACGTCCGTCCATTCACTGATGCACTTTTCTGTTCATCTGATTAAAATACCTGATATGCAAGACATGGGGAGCACATGTCTTCCTTCTTTTCCTCCCACAGCACTGATGCTTGGTGGTTGGCTGCTCAGTCATCAAGTGACATGGAGGTGGGTTATGCGATTGACAGGGAGTCAAATGGACAGGAACTGGTGGGAAATCTCACATGTAAGAATGGAGACAACAGAGAAAAACAATTTAGCACACGAAAGAAGCAGATGACTTCCTGACCCACTAATACCCATTATCCTCATCTTCTAAGCTGGTCATACACTAGTAGAATTTTTTTGAAAATTTTTCATTTTAAGAAAGTTCATTCTATTTGCAAATCGTTAGTGGGGTCATATCCACATTCATTGAATGTTAAAGGCAAACAGATTTTTGACCAACATTCATCAGGTCTCAAATGTACTGAGAATTTTTGTATGGATGTTTGTACGAATGTTCATTTGCAAATCTACTAATGTATGGTTAGCTTTACTCCACAGGACAGAGCTATACCCCACCCCCCTTCCAATGAGGATAGGGAAAACAATAAAAACCTTGCAGAAACTCCAACCCTTCCCTACTCCATTCAAAATGAATAAACTATTTTTGACTATGATTGAAAAAAGTTAAAGGCCATAATCTCTCAGATCACTCAAGCATGAATATTTATAACAAGGGAGATTAGGAGCAGTAGTGCTCCAAGCTAGTCCATTAATTCTTTTCTTGAAGTTTGTTAATGAGGAGGTAGGTAGTTATATGGAGAAGCCATGGTTTCCATAAAGGTGAACTGCTTCCTGAACTGACAGTAGTAGGCTGGATTAAAGGACAGTCATATTGGTCCTATAGATCATCATTGCCATATGACCACTTTTTTGCTGTCTGAACTATATAGAGGTTATATTGGAATGCTTTATGGTCAGAGAGGACCATAAACACACATGAACAAAAACAGGAATGACCACCTGAACAATGGCCCTTGCGATATACAAGAGGTCTGAATCTGGAACGAAATTCAATAGGCAGTGTTATTAATAACATAAATCTGAGATCTTCCTTTTGGGTAATAAATTAATCTGTTCAATAGAAATTAATTTTCTACACGCGGATTAATATTCTGGACAACAGACATATGCCAATGTTTAGATACATTTAGTTTCAAATCCTGTGTTGATGTCTTTAGACAGAAGCCGATGCAGCATTTTGTTCTACGTCTCTTGGTGTAGTCAGTGATGAAATCGCCGGCTTCTGTCAACACAAAAGCTAGTTAATACAATTACACTAATTGTGTCCTTTTCTCATTCTGTGGTGTCCCAGTTTTCAATGTCATCTTCTAATTAAATGGGGGAAGGCCATGCATGCCTGGTGGCTAAATTTAAATAAACGAAAGTATACCTAAAGTAAAACCCTTTTTTTATTTTAGTTTTTGGACAGGATTGGTACCTTTTCAGGTTTTTATTCTTATCTCTCTTACTTGTTGGAAAGATTCTCTGTCTTTTTGTCCTGGTGACCTTTGTCTTCAGGACAAAAGGTGGTGGGAATTCCAAAATGTTACAGAAGGGAACAGAATGGAAGAGTAAATTTTCCAAAATGAACACCTGTTCCAGTGACAACGGTCTACAAGGGGATTTCCTCTTACTCCCAGTTTTGTCTCTGGAGCAGGAATCAAGGTGAAATGGGACATAAGCAGCAAAAGAAAGCGAGGGATTCTACCCATTCCCTATTCAAAAGAATCGTTTTGGCTTTAAATATGCTTTAAATCAGGGTTTTTCAACAAGGGTTTCATGGCACCCTATTGTTCCTCCAGAGATTGCTAGGGATTCTTTGAGCAATGAGCAATTTCTGCTTCTCTGACTCTGAAGTTCCCACTGGCACCATTTAATTTTTTTTAGCTATCTGTAAGGGGGTAATTCTTCTCAATGACCACAAGGGTAAGAAGATTCTTCCCACTGATCATCACACTAATGTATAATAAGTAGTATGTATTGTAATTTCTAGAAGGGGTTCCCTGAGGCCGGAAAGCTATATCAGGGGTTGCTTTGTGCTGAAAAGGTTGAGAAAGGCTGTGTTAAATAAATGCACCAGTATTTAACCACCCATAGATTTGAGTTGAAAGTTGCAAGATTAAGATTTCAACAGGTCCACATTTATGGGTGGTTCTCAACCCAGATGATAGACTGCTATCTGGGAAGGTTAGAAAATACTTGTCAATTGCTACTGTTCCTCTGAGATTAGTTTGACTAATTGCTGTTATTTTCCGTAAATAAACCAGTGTTAAAGCTGAACTGCAGGAAAAGTAAAAATGCTGCGTTGCAGCAGGGCTGCAACTACACTGTAAGGGAAATTGTACATTTTCCCAGAATTGGGCTGTAAATGCTAGTTTAGGTCTAGGAGGTTTGGCAAGGCTCTTTTACTTGCCAAAACCTCTGCTCCCACAGACTCTATGTGCTGGTAGACCGCCCCAGGAAGCTCCTCTTCCCTAAACTCTGGTAGTCTAGGGTCTTCTGACATCATCAAAACAGGGTTGTTAGCCCTGCATTGGACGCGAGGACGCTGGGGAGCAGTTCACTGCTGAAACATATGGGAGCACTGTCTGCTGGGGAAGTGGAGAATCGGATAAGTAAAAGTTGTTTTCCTGTCCCCTAGACATCTTGTCCCGTAGAATTAGGCTTTAAGGATTTTTTTCCTGTTCTTTGACTTATTTCGCTAAGGCATCATGCACTCATGACTGCATGTTAGCTAATGTGTGCATGTAGATATTTTAGCACATTTTCATGCACAATATTCATTGGTGGAATAAAATTGGCAAAGGCATGCATTCCCAGAGAAGCAGCTTTCTATTTTTTGTTTCTGCATAAACACACACTTATGCACGTAAATGTATTCTAATGGATAGAATACATGAATATTCTAGCCAATAGAATGCGTTTATGTGCAAACGCTTCTAAAGGGCATGCACGTGTAACATTTCATAAACACACCTAAAAACAAGTTAAAAGACTGCAAGATTAGAGGCATTTTTTTTGGATGAACTTTTGGCTGCATAAATTAATACTCCCATGTGCATGAGGCCCTAATCAGAAATAAGCCATCTTGGGTGGTGCGATGCCAGGATGCTTGGTTATTGTCCTCTCATGTCTGGGGTTAGCTTTAGACAGAATATTTCACTCTGATTGTTGTTGAGGCAGGATATTTTCTGTAAATAACATAATATGTACTTTCTCATTAAAATGCATATACTGCAGCAGATTTTATATTCTGTAATATCATTTATATGCCTTAACACCACCCTTTCCATGCTGAGCGGATTACCAGCCGCATTGACCTGCAAAAAGTCTACCGTGTGTGGAATAGCTATGGAAGGATTATGGTAGAAGCTCTTTAGCATAATTAATTAGTTTGCACTAAAACAAAGAGTTTACTAACCTTTAGTGAAATATATGAAATTGTAAGACTGGTCATAAACAGCACGATACAATGCTTCGATGGAGATTTGTGCAATTGAAGGTTACCCTAAGGCAGTGTTTCTCAACCTTTTTTCAGTCAAGGCACCCTTTCAAATTTATGGACAGTCCCAAGGCACCCTTTCAAATTATGGACATTCCCGAGGCACCCTTTCAAATTATGGACACTCCCGAGGCACCCTTTCAAATTATGGACAGTCCTGAGGCACCCTTTCAAATTATCGACAGTCCTGAGGCACCCTTTCAAATTATGGATAGTCCTGAGGCACCCTTTCAAATTATGGACAGTCCTGAGGCACCCTTTCAAATTATCGACAGTCCCGAGGCACCCTTTCAAATTATGGACAGTCCCGAGTCACCCTTTCAAATTATCGAGAGTCCTGAGGCACCCTTTAAAAATATCGACAGTCTTGAGGCACCCCATTCTAAAATGTGAAAAACCATTCTAATAGTCTTATATAACACAGCAACATCCACACATGTAGGACACCCAACATTAGAGGTGATTTATTCTTCCAAAGCAAATACACTTTTGCACATTGGTACTGACTAGTATTCCATTTTTTCTCTTCTCCCTCAGTTTTTCTCAATCACTGAGCTAATGTAAACCCAGCACTGACGTCAAGAGGCAGGGGAGGGTCAAACTAGGATGCTGTGCAGGCAGCTGACATCTTCCTTATCAAATGATGATGCCATTGGTTGTCAGGATGCAGGCGGCTAGAAGGTCATAATGGTGCACAATGAAAACTTGTGGCTTTGTGTAACTAAAAGGCAGTCTTGTTCCACCCACTGGCTTGTATACAAGTTTTGGGCAATTTTTAGACATTTTGCCAAGGCGCCCCTGAAGAAACCTCAAGGCACCCTGGTTGAGAAAGGCTACCCTAAGGAAGCAATAACAAATGCATTTTAACTTGTTGAAATATATTAAGATGATACAAATTTGGGCACTAGTGTCATGTGAATCAATCAGTCTCTCAACCCAACCTATTGGGCAGGCTGACCACTATCTGTGTGGGCATTTAGTGTTTAAAGTGTTAAAATCCGGAGAACAAAAAATGTAATATATAGCAGTTTATCAATCCTGTGATATGGTGGCTGAATTAGTTTTCTTTTTTAATATCTCCTGCCATTAAGGAGTGCTCCCCCTTTCCTATCTCCATAACACAGAGGGGAGGTGTTTAGTGGTTCTCAGAGGTAACCTGGGAAGTGCTGATACGGTTCACTGAGATAAGACCGCAGAGAGCGCAGGATAGCACTGATTTTCTATCAGGATGAACAGGTATTTTTGCCATTTTGAAACAGAAAAAAACACGTTCAATCATATATTTAACAGACCAAAAGGGAACAAGTAAGAGAAATTTGTTGTTAGTTTGCATACCCTTTAAGGCTAGGTTCACATCTGTGCGGGTGGTGCTGCTGCGGATCCGCACGAAAATCAGCGCAGCTGCACCACCCGCACAGAGGAATGCGGACCCACGGACGGGTGCCATTAATTCTTATGGCACGCCGCTCGCACTGGAAAACGCAGCCATACTGGGAACTTAGGTTCCCATGCGGGCTATGTTTTCGGAAGAAGTGCAAGGACTTCTTCCCTGCGTGTCACGGCATGGGAGTCCATTCAAATGAATGGGCTCTTGTGCCCATGCAAAACGCAGCTCGCACAGCCTCATATATGTGAACCGAGGCTAAAACCTTATTTAAAGGGAATATCCACTTTTGCAGTCAAATTCGAGAAAACTCCACTGTATGTTTTGATTTCCTATTCACATACCTAAAAAAAAAAAAAAATCTTTACCTTTTTAGAGATTTCGTAGCAGAAAGTGTCATGGCAGACTGCAAGCTTTTCTCAACATGTTTATTGTGAGTTTGTCCCAAAACAAAGGCTCAGGACAGGATGAACCCAGATCTTAAATATTTAACCCTTTTGTTAGGACAGACTGTTCAAATCTAGTTGACATCTGATGAGATGAAATCTGCCAGCACAATACAGCCAGGGTAAAGTGGTTGTAAACCTGAGACATGAAATATGAACAAAGCATATCCCTCTATAGTATGTACTTGTTTCCATTATAAAAACACTAAGTGTGATTTCTGTCTGCTGCTTCCTTCCTCTGCTATCAACATGAATCACTTCTGACAAGTTTTCCTGACACCAAGAGAAAAATGGTGACAGGGGAGGGACCCTCAGCTCTGTTCCATGAGCTGTGTGGAGGGGGGCATGTCTCTACCCTTCAGCCAGCTTAGATCTCTCCTCACTGAGCTTTGCAGTATGTAATTTCAGCTCTTCGCTCCCCTTTTTCTGAACTCTCAGACAAGCTGTCTAAATTCCACACTTTGGCTGTAGAGAAGAGAAGGCAACAGATAAACAGGTACAACTTATGTAGGAGGATTTGTTTTATCTCTGTGCATGACCTGAGGCCAGTCACTTCACTGGGTATATGTAAGGGTTTACAACCACTTTAATTAGAGCAAACACAGCTCCCTAGCTTCATCAACTCAAAGAGAAGTGTATAGGATTTCCTTGCTGGTATTCCTAGAAACAAGCATCTAAAAAAGTAAGCTGCAATTTTTAAATATTTTTTTTAAGTTATGCTATGAGAATGGGGATCTGTAATTAATAAAAAGTATAGTAGGTGTTCTACCAGTTGGATGGCAAAGTTGAAATACACTCTCAGGCAAAACTTTTTTTATTTATTTATTTATTTGTTTGTGGTTATAGTAGAGAACATTTAGAACTTTTATTAGGTTTTATTGTAGTTTGTGACTTTGTAGGAAGGATTTTACTTAATTTGCTGTGAGGTCACTGAATGCACTTTTTCCTGTGTGGCAAGCAGAGACGAGCTCTGACTCGTTCCGATAGGAGTCAGAACTTGAGAAAACACTATACACTGCTTCAAGTTGGTCCCCTTCTGACTCAAACCCCAGATCTGTCTGGTGCTGGTCTGACTCGTACTGCAAGACTTCAAAAGCAGATGGTGGATGACCGCACACTGATATTCCACGAACTTTGCTGGCAAAAGTTAGAGATCTATGAAGCACACAGCTCACAAGGAGAGCATATGTTGACGCGTTTCACACCAAAAGGAGCTTAGTCATAACATAACTTGCGTGAGCTATCCCGCCAAGGAGCTGTCATTGTGGAGAGCCAATCATAAGCAGCAGAGGCATTCCCTGCATCACAGCCACATGTATACATGCCTCTAGTCCACATGAGGCTGGTCGGCAGTGAATGCTTCCACCGCTCATGATTTAACTGTCCACATTGACAGCTTCCTATCTGAAGGCTATGTAGACGAAACGCGTTAGAAGCCGTGCTGTATATCCACCATGTCAATTCTTCATATTTGTGGATGACACCTGGTTGCCAGCTTCATTTTGCTCTATCGATCGTTGTCAGAGTGTGGAATACTTATCCAGTGCATGGGTTTATCCTACTCTGGTTACAGTTGATCAGCTATTTTTTTTGTACTTTGTGCCTAAACATATAAGAGTTCATCCCTACTGGTAAGCATGTCTGTATTGCTGTGGGGTGCATGTTACGAGCAGACATTCCTGTGTTGCACTATTCTTGCTACAAAATGGCAGTCCGTTTTGGGAAATACAATCTGTAAAAATGGCCCTGAAGGTTTCTGTAAGCATTGCAACAGTTTTTGAACAGAAGAGTGAATTTCAATGAAGTCTTGAAGGTAGCGGGATTCAGGAGCACCGCGCTTCACTCATTACTGAGTTCCCATTTGACTTGGCAAATATAGACATAAACTGTATTATTCAGCAATGTCTTTTAAGACAGCCAGCGCTTAGCAGTTGCCTGTATATATAGACATACTGAATAATAGACTTGGGGAAAATATGGCGATATATGCTTTTAATGACACTGTGTGCTCATGCTGACTTTGATGTTTTTATATAAAAGAACGCGTGACCGTCTTTAGTAACCTTGCGGTTAGCTGGACCTTCTGCAGCCTTTTGATTTCTAAGCGTTTTTAGGGCTACAAGTGTCAAAACATCTTTACCATTCCATATTGGGAAACTGAAAGTCTTTTAGCGGCTCCTTTCAACATGCTGCTGCAGGGAGCCTGAACCTCTGTGTATAAACAGGGGGAAATTATGAGCTGTCGCTTGCTGCCTTGTAGGCCAATGTATAATTGGCCACCCATGTCATATTTTCATATTGAGCCTTACTATGGAGATTAACTTTTTCTTCCCAGAATCACTGCTTCAGTCACGCGGAAAGGCTAGGCCGCTTTAATTCCAAGTCATTAAAGTTTGGATTTCTATTAAACGGGCACCTTGATGTGTGGGAATCAGTTACTTTCTTCCACCGCTGATATGTTTTTCAGATCCGGCACAGTCATATGACATGCTAATAGCATTACTGCAAAATTAAAAAAAAAAAAAAGAATTCACGTGTAATAACACCCAGGTTTCGTGTTGCTTCATAATAAGAAAGAAATCATAACTAGAAGCAATTTAGTATAATCCAAATTTGCATAAGGCACAATGATTTCAAATTACCAATATAAAATAAGAAGTTAATTTCACTGTGACAACAGACAGATTGGATGGGGTATAGTAGTCAGGAGCGAAAAGTATGTTGCCAGCACACCAGGGATCTCCAGAACAGGTCCAAAGTTGATTCAACAATCACATCATGGTTACAGAAAACATTTCGGAGCCCTGTAGGACCGTATGTCGCCAGCACACCAGGGATCTCCAGAACAGGTCCAAAGCTTGATTCAACAATCACATCATGGTTACAGAAAACATTTCAAAGCCCTGTAGGACCGTATGTCGCCACCACACCAAGGATCTCCATAACAGGTCCAAAGCTTGATTCAACAATCACATCATGGTTACAAAAAACATTTTGGAGCCCTGTAGGACCGTATATCTCCAGCACACCAAGGATCTCCAGAACAGATCCAAAGTTGATTCAACAATCACATCATGGTTACAGAAAACATTTCGGAGCCCTGTAGGACCGTATGTCGCCAGCACACCAGGGATCTCCAGAACAGGTCCAAAGCTTGATTCAACAATCACATGGTTACAAAAAACATTTTGGAGCCCTGCAGGACCGTATGTCGCCACCACACCAAGGATCTCCATAACAGGTTCAAAGCTTGATTCAACAATCACTTCATGGTTACAAAAAACATTTCAGAGCCCTGTAGGACCGTATGTCGGAAGCACACCAGGGATCTCCAGAACAGGTCCAAAGCTTGATTCAACAATCACATGGTTACAAAAACATTTTGGAGCCCTGCAGGACCGTATGTCGCCACCACACCAAGGATCTCCAGAACAGGTACAAAGCTTGATTCAACAATTACACCATGGTTAAAAAAACATGTTGGAGGCTTGCAGGACCGTATGTCTCCAGCTCACCAAGGATCTTCACAACAGGTCCAAAGCTTGATTCAACAATCACATC